TCGCCCTGGTCCTCGTGTTTCATAGATCAAGGTTGAGATGTGGCGGTGGTCTATTCTACGAGTTTAAGCGGCGCCATAGAGGTAATTCAGACAGACAGACAGAGACAGATAGAGACAGACTGGGGTGTGGAATGGGTCGGCTTGGAATGAGCTGGGGATCGGCTGGGGTGGGATAAGGTCGGCTGGGCTAGAGGTCAACTGAGACGGGCTAGGGTTAGGTAAAGAGGAGGTGGATGAGGTTAGGTTAGGTAGCAGGTATTACAGGAAGGAATAGTTTAGGGATGGGTGAGGCACGGTTAGGTTAGGACAGGATGGGTATCATATTCTAACGTTCACTCGAGGTCTGAATATCGCTCACTGCATCCCAATCCCCAACCATTGTATAATTAAAGAACACAAACCTCCTTTTCATTTGAAACAATTTGAAACTCTGTCCGATATTTCCTGGTAAAGTTGCAGACGAGCGTATTACATCGATTCTGGCATTATTTTGAGGATTCTGGCATTATTTTGAGGATTCTGGCATTATTTTGAGGATTCTGGCATTATTTTGAGGATTCTGCATTATTTTGAGGATTCTGGCATTATTTTGAGGATTCTAGCATTATTTTGGGGATTTCTGGCATTATTTTGAGGATTCTAGCATTATTTTGGAGCTTTCTGGCATTTTGCAGGATTCAGGCATTATTTTGTAGATATTTAGACGATCAGAACTTGAGATAGGTTTATTAATGCCGTCAGTTAATGTGAATGTTTACAGCACTGCAGAGGGCATTTCATAGGTTGGTTTAGCTTGCAGTGAAGAGCTCCTTCCTGTTCCTTCTTTTCCCTCCCTCCCCTTTCCCTCCCCTTCCTTTCTACCCCTCTCCCTTCCTTCCCATGTCAGTCAAGTCAGCGAGAGATGGTATTATTTGTTGCTTTTGTCTCTCCTACAAATCCGGTTTCTTTGTGTTTACTTGAGGGTGACAAACTCGTTGGAAATTTTTAATCGATTAGCGAGGATGATTGGGCTAGGAGAGAGAGAGAGAGAGAGAGAGAGAGAGAGAGAGAGAGAGAGAGTTGACAAGTCCATTTTGACCCTGAGTCTGGCTAAGTTTGATTACCTCCATTGAAGCTAGAGCCTCTCTCTTTCCTTCCTTTCCTTTCCGTTCAGACCGATTCTCCGTCCGCCTTTTCCGCTGTAAATCGGAGGAGAAGAATTGTGGACCTGAAGCAAACCCTTGACTTGAGGAGTCGATTGTTAGGCCCTAAGTATCATCACCCTCCCCCCACACGTCCTTCAACCCTCCCCACACGTCCCCCACACGTCCCCACACGTCCCCACACCCCTCCACCGTACTTGACCTTACATACATACATACATACATACATACATACATACATACATACAGGTACATACAATGAACTAATCGTTAAACCCTCCTCCTCCTCCTCCTCCTCCTCCTCCTCCTCCTCCTCATCGTGCCTTATCTCACCCGGTCCTTCACAGTTCTTTCCTTCCTCCCTCCTCTTCCTCCCTTCCTCTTCTTCCCCTCCTCTTCTTCTTCCTCCCTCCTCTTCCTCCCTTTCTCTTCTTCCTCTTCCTCCTCTTCCTCCTTCCCTTTCTTACCAACAGAAATATTTTTAACTTCATTCATTTTATTCACTTTTCCTGTATTTTTCTTCTACTTATAATCTATTTTCATTCACTTATTAATACTTATGAGTAATTAGCTCCTGAGGGATGCTCTATTTAGCTCACCAAGCAGGGATGAGTTAACTAAATCAGCTAAAGCTAATAATGTAAAGCTAAATACAACAAATTCTGGAGCTATGTTTTGCCTACAATTACCTGGGGTTAATTACATTACCCTTGGAGAGATAAATGCATAATTTGGGGTCAATTAAGGTGTAATTGTGTAATTAGTTTAAATTAAGGTAAGGCATTGGTCAGTTGAGGCAGGACATCCTCATCTCGTAAGAAAGGTTTGTGTTGTGGTGTTTTTGTTTATTTGTTCGTTGTTGTTTTTTTTCCTTATATTATTATTATTATTATTATTATTATTATTATTATTATTATTATTATTCATTTCTTCCTCCTTTCCTTCTCCTCCTTTTTTTACATTTTTACACTTCTGTTTTCTCTCTTCTTTCTCCCCCTCCTTCCTTCTCCCCCTCTCCTCCTTCACCTGCCATCTTCTTCCACCCCTCCTCTACCCCTCCTTCTCCTCCCTCTCCCTCCCCGCCCTGTGTATATATAAAAGTATGTATGTATGTATGTATGTATGTATGTATGTATGTATGTATGTATGTATGTATATCCCTTGTGTATGTATGTTTATCGGAAGCGTAACCTGTAAATACTAAAAGCTGCCGTGTTGAAGCTTAGTATATTAATGCATATATTCATTATGGCAATTGGTCGACCTGCCTGTGTATATTTAGGGTCGAAAGGTCAAAGGTTAAACGTGAGATTTAATAAACAGGTTGTAGGTAACCCCAGCTTGAGTGTTTATAACCCCAGCTTGAATGTGTATAACCCCAGCTTGAGTGTGTATAACCCCAGCTTGAGTGTGTGTATAACCCTTAGGTGAGCTTGTGTGTGTATAACTCGCAGGTGTGTGTATATAACCATGCAGAGTGTGTGTATAACTCCAGCTTGAGTGTGTGTGTATAACCATAGCTTGAGATGTGTATAACCCCAGCTTGTGTGTGTATAACCCCAGCTTGAGTGTGTGTATAACCCCAGCTTGAGTGTGTGTATAACCCCAGCTTGAGTGTGGGAAAAATCGTAATTGTGGTATTAATTTGATTTTAATATACACCCTTACCACCACCACCACCACCATCACCATCACTATAATCCACCATGATTACACCATCACTGTCACCACTATTAAACCATAACCGCTACTACAACATCACCACTATCACTACCACCACTCCTACCACCATCACACCACACTACCACCACCATTACCACACTACCACCACCATTACCACACTACCACCATCATCACTTCCACTTTACCACCACACTATCACCGCCACCATTAACACACTCATCTTACTACCAATACCACCACCACAACTACTACCACTACCACCAATACCACTACCACAATTACTACCACAATCCCACCTGATGACATAGTGTTGGGTATTCTCTTTGAGGTAACGTAAGGCCTGATGACTGCAAGATCAATGGGGGAGGGACCAAGATTTGCTAAGGCTGCCTGCCTGGCTGGCTGCTTCCCTTATGCAAATGATCGTCTCAAGGTTCCCAAGCATCAAGAGTCACACACAAGCACGAACACAGTCACAAACAAGGCTCTCAAGCACCAGCAAACACATACAAACACCAACAGTCACAGAAACAAACCCAAATTTCCCTAAAAATCCCAAACTCAGAATCAAGTCCAAATTTTACCCCCAAAAGTCCCAAACTCTCAGAATCAGGTATAAATTTCCCCCTCCCTAAAAGTCCCAAACTCAGAATCAGGTCTCAGGATGTCGACAGTGAATTCTAAGTGTATCTGGGGGTAGAGAGAATACCTGATCACCTGTTGGAATATTCTACCTGAGGCGGCGTCATGTTTTCTCTGTCGTGTAGGAGTCGGAATTCAGTGGGACCAGGATCTCAAAGGGTCGTAGGCGTGTGAAATTTCGTTTTTTTTTTGTGGGAAATTAAGACAAAGAGATTTTAACACGCAAATGAACAGACATATATACCCAACAAATACACAGACAGATTTTATCACACAGACAGATACAGCGACATAGACATTTACCAAGAAGAAAGAACAAAATAACATAGACAATACTTCCAAGCGGCTCTTCGCTTCACAACTCACTTCCAAGAATTAAAAAATGTCGAAATATCTTAAAGCCTCGTCCATAAAAGCCGAGTTATCATAATTTTTTCCCGAGAATTAAAAAAGAAAAGATTAACACAATTTCTCGTCCAATAGGAGCCGGAGAAATCGTAAGTTTCCGTCCCATAAAAGCGGAGGTATCGTAAATTTTCGTTCACATAATGATAAAAGAAACACTCGTTTAAGAATTATCGAGTTTTAAAAGTGTAGTCAATGTAGTATATTAAACAAGGTGTATCGGCGTGTACCAGGGTATAACATATATTAGTTTTTGCTGTGGGTATAGTGTATGTATCAGGGTGTAGTAAGGGAAGACTTCATAGAAAACGGCACCAAACGAAGGCAGACATCAAAGAAAACGGCAGCAAACCAGAGGGCAAACTTAAAAGGAAAATGCTGGTTGTATTGCAAGGGTAACTTTACTAGTTACGAGAATTAGATAAAATGCTGCAAAGTTTAATTAACTGTAAGTAAGAGTTACTGAATCCTTAATGAGGTGTAGGAGGAGATGAAGGGTGTAATGAGGTGCCATGAGTAGTAAGTGTAGTATACTCGTGCCCACAGTACACCCAGGAGGAGGGGGTACAATATATCACGCCATAATCCAGGCCTGATAATGAGGTATTGATTATCGCCTAAGCTTGAAGTAAGCCGAGCGCTGATTGGCTAAGATTTTCCACGCGATTACTTGAGAAGGTGGGTGATGTGCCGTGACGAAGTGGTGACGTCACTCGCTGGACGATGATGGTGGTGGTGATGATGATGGAGATGGTGGTAGTGACGATGGTGGTAGGGGCTGGTAGTGACGATGGTGGTAGGAGCTGGTAGTGACGATGGTGGTAGGGGCTGGTAGAAGGTTAAGTTGTTCTTCCGTTCGACATATAGAACTGGGTTAAGTATTTCCCCAAGTGTCGTTCTATTGAGGGAAAAGACATGGGGTTAATTTAATGATACAACAGGTGAGAATACCTGTACTTTATACCTGTACCTTATACCTGTACCTGTTACTAATGATGTTGAACCCCCATACACAATTTTCGAATCAGTGAACGAAACTCCGAGAGAAAATAAAATGAATCAAACGAACCTGAAAATTGTCAGTTGTGTTAAGAATTACTTTGAGTCGACCTAATTAGACACCGAATCATGAAGACAGTAGTTCGAAACCAACGAAGCTTCGAAACCAAATTAATGATGAATAGGGAAACAGAATCAAACTCAAAGTAAATCTCATCTTAGTATTATAAACATTAGTGTGTGTGTGTGTGTGTGTGTGTGTGTGTGTGTGTGTGTGTGTGTGTGTGTGTGTGTGTGTGTGTGTGTGTGTTTGTTTCAGGTTATTTTTACATATTTATCCTTCTGTGTTTAATTGCTCTCTGTCTTCCTGGAGGCGCCGTGATGAACTCTTCCCGGTGGGGCATTAAAGGGGAGAAGCTGCGTCTGGCGATAAGACTGACGAGCGCTTTGGCTGTCTCTTGGCGTTTTAACCTTGTAGACAGACAGACAGAAAGACAGAAAGACTGCGTTAGATATTCAGTAAAATTGTCTTACGAGTTAACATGGACTCAGTAAGTACATAGGCAGTGCAGGTATACAATGTAATTAGGCAGTGTAGGCATGGAAACAATGTACAGTGTGTGTGTGTGTGTGTGTGTGTGTGTGTGTGTGTGTGTGTGTGTGTGTGTGTGTGTGTGTGTGTGTGTGTGTGTGTGTGTTAGAGAGAACTTAAAGGTGTGTCAGACAGTGAGGGTATTGTAAGCGGCTCCGTGAGTGAATGAGTCTCTATATTGAGTTCGAGGCGACGACACGGGTATTGAAAACCTCATTATCCGCTGCAGGGAGAGTGAGAGGGAAGGGGGTGCCTAGGAGGAGGGAGGGCCTGGGGAGGAAGGGGGAGAGTGAGAGGGAAGGGGGTGCCTAGGGAGGGAGGGAGGGGCCTGGGGGGAGGGACGGGGGAGGCTGCCAGGGTGAGGAGACAGAATATTGGAGAATGGGAAGTTTACAGTATCTGGGAAAGGAGGGAGGGAAGGAGGAACGAGAAAGATAGAAGAAGGAAGGAAGGAAGGAAGGAAGGCGAACGAGGGTGGAGGGCAGTAAGGGCTCGTGTAGTGAAGATGTGCCCTCCTTTCCTCCTTCTCCCTTCCTTTTCCCTCTCCTTTCCTCCTTTCTCGCTCTTCCCTCATTCTGTCTCTCTATCCTCCCTCTTCCGTCTCCTTCTCTTTTCCTCCCTCATTTTTCTTTCATGCTTCTACTTTCCTTCCCTCCTTCATTTTTTTACCCTTCTTTTCAGTTCCTCCCTCCTTCTCTCCATTCTCTCTCTCTCTCTCTCTCTCTCTCTCTCTCTCTCTCGTTATGTCAGTCAGTCAGCCAATTAACAGTCAGGCAGTTTATCAGTCAGTCAGAGGAGAAAGAAAGAGAGAGAGAGAGAGAGAGAGAGAGAGAGAGAGAGAGGTCATATACATATTAACGTCAACAGGAGTGAGTGTTCTCAACCTCCAGCCACCAGATGATGAGCGCCCTGCCTTAATTACTCTCCCTCCTCCTCCCTCCTCCCTCCTCCTCCCTCCCTCCTCTTCTACCCTACCCTCACATTCCCTCCCTCCCCGCCGCCCCCACACCGCCCCCACACCGCCCCCACACCACCGCCCCCACACCGCCCCCACCGCCCCCTCCGACACCTTATTGGCCCGAGCAATCATTAATGACTCACCAGTAATTGTCAGGTGTTTGGTTGACCGGTGGGATTGTGGTAGTTGTGGTTGGGTTGACTGGTGGGATCTACCACCACCACCATCTTCTTCCCTCCTACAGGCATCATCACTACCACCACTCAGCTAACACTACCACCACCCAGCTAACACGACCACCACCAGCTACGACCACCACTAGCTACCCACCACCAGCTAACACTCCACCACCCAGCTAACACCACCACCCAGCTAACACACCACCACAACACGACCACCACCTAGCTAACACTACCACCACCTAGCTAACACGACCACCACCCAGCTAACACTACCACCACCCAGCTAACACTACCACCACCCAGCTAACGACCACCACCTAGCTAACACGACCACCACCCAGCTAACACTACCACCACCCAGCTAACACGACCACCACCCCTAACACGACCACCACCCAGCTCACACCACCACCCAGCTAACACGACCACCACCTAGCTAACACCACCACCAGCACCACCACCACCTAGCTAACACTACCACCACCCAGCTAACACGAACACCACCACCATCTTCTTCCCCTCCTTCAGGCATCATCACTACCACCACCCAACTAACACCCCTCTATTCTCTCCCTCCTGCAGGTGTAAGGCGCCGGGGAAGTTCTTAGACAACCTGCCGGAGACCTCGGTAATCGTGTGCTTCCATAATGAGGCGTGGTCAGTGCTGCTGAGAACCGTCCACTCCATCCTCGACCGCTCCCCACCGCAGTTCCTCAAGGAGATCATCTTAGTCGACGATAATTCTGACATGCGTGAGTAACAGCTGAGGTTCTTTCTTTCTTTCATTTGTGTCGTTCATTTCTTTCATTTCTTTCTTTCAGTTGTTCGTTCTTTCCTTTTCAACTTCATTTTTTTTAACTTCATTTTCTTCCTTCCTTCCTTCCTTCCTTCCTTCCTTCCTTCCTTCCTTCTTCCTTCCTTCCTTCCTTCCTTCCTTCCTTCCTTCCCTCCTCACCATTTAAGCTCACCAACCAACTTATCATGGGTCACTAGGAAAGGTCATTACAATTGGCTTCTAATTAGGAGGTCAGGGGTCTCTCTGGAGGTCATAGTGAGAAGTCGTGGTGAGAGGTCTTGGTGAGAGGTCTTGGTGAGAGGTCGTGGTGAGAGGTCTTGGGTAGGGGATTAGCGAGAGGTACTTGGTGAAGTTAAGACGGTAGGCACTGGAGGAGGTTTAGGAGGGAGGGTAGGTCAAGTAGGGCTGAGAGAGGAGAGAGAGAGAGAGGCAACAAGCAAGTAATCATAGAACGATTCCAACTGAGGTGTGTGTGTGTGTGTGTGTGTGTGTGTGTGTGTGTGTGTGTGTGTGTGTGTGTTCAAGGCTCTCCAATGGGGCTTTACTTCAAGTCCTGAGAAGGATCGAGACCGTCATTTGGAGCTCCTAAAGGACCCTCTCTGGCCTGCTTGATAGGACACGAGTGGCTGAAGGAGAGAACGAGACGATGTGGGTGTGTGTGGATGAGGGAGGATGGAGGGATAGGGATGTGGGTACCTATTGCTATCACGAAGAGGATGAGAGGAGAAAGATCGGCAGGGAAAGAGAAAGGAGATGGAAAGAGAGAGAGTAAGATCTTAAGAGTTGGCAAGGAGAGAGAGGGGAAGAAAGGGCAAGAGAAAGGGGGAGAGGGAAAAGGTGGATGAGTCACGAGTATCCAGACACCAATATTTGTTGTGTCGTTGGGTCTGTCTGTCTCCTCTCTCTCTCTCTCTCTCTCTCTCTCTCTCTCTCTCTCTCTCTCTTGTCTCTGTCTGTCTGTCTGTTTTGTCTGACGTGTGAGGGACAAAGGGCTGACAATGATGACGTGTGAGGGACAAGGCGACAATGACGTGAGGACAAGGGCTGACAATGATGACGGTGTTGTGAGGACAAGGCTGACAATGATGACGTGTGAGGGACAAGGGGCTGACAATGATGACGTGTGAGGACAAGGGCTGACATGATGACGTGTGAGGGACAGGGCTGACAATGATGACGTGTGAGGGACAAGGGCTGACAATGATGACGTGAGGACAAGGCTGACATGATGACGTGAGGACAGGGCTGACAATGATGACGTGTGAGGACAAGGGACAATGATGCGTGAGGACAAGGCTGAAACGACGTGAGGACAAGGCTGACAAGACGTGTGAGGACAAGGGGCTGACAATGATGACGTGTGAGGACAAGGGGCTGACAATGACGTGGAGGACAAGGGCTGACAATGATGACGTGTGAGGACAAGGGCTGACAATGATGACGGTGAGGACGGCACATATGACGCTGCAATTGACGTGGGGACAAGGGCTGACAAATGACGTGAGGACAGAATGATGCGGGACAGCGACAATATGACGTGAGGACAAGGCTGACAATGAGACATGTGAGGGACAAGGGGCTGACAATGATGACGTGTGAGGACAAGGGGCTGACAATGATGACGTGTGAGGGACAAGGGGCTGACAATGATGACGTGTGAGGACAAGGGCTGACAATATGACGGAGGACAGTGTGATGACGTGTGAGGGACAAGGGCTGACAATGATGACGTGTTGAACTGAAAATATAACTTGCCAGGGTTGATATTGGTGTGTGTGTGTGTGTGTGTGTGTGTGTGTGTGTGTGTGTGTGTGTGTGTGTGTGTGTGTGTGTGTGTGTGTGTGTGTGTGTGTGTGTGTGTGTGTGTGTCCTTGTCTTAATTCTTCCTGTGCCTTGTAATCCCAGAGCGACGACCTGAACACGTCCCTGGGTTAATGGTCACCTCTCCTCAACACCACCCTCCCTCTCACCCTCCTCTCACCCACTCCCTCTCACCTACTCCCTCTCACCCACTTCCTCTCCCTCTCAATCTCGCCCTTCCCCTCTCACCACTCTTCCACTCCTCTCCTCTCACCCCTCCTTCTCACCCCTACCTCTACCCCTCCCCTCTCTCCCTGTCTCTCACCCCTCCTTCTCACCCTCCTCACCTCTATCTCTTACCCCTCCCTCTCACCTCCTCTCCTCTCTCCCCTCTCCCTCCCTCTTACCCCCTCCTCTCACCCTCCCTCCCCACCCAATTTAAACCTCCAACTGAGTCCTATTTCTTACCTCTCTCTCTCTCTCTCTCTCTCTCTCTCTCTCTCTCTCTCTCTCTCTCTCTCTCTCTCTCTCTCTCTCTCTCTCTCTCTCTGCCCGCCCACTATTCTCATCAACCGCCGTTTGTCTGTTGAGTGTCCTGTCTTGTGATTGGCTGAGAGCACGTTGTTACTGTCTTGTGATTGGCTGGGGCTGCTGTACTGGTGGTAGTCTGGTATTGGTGGATGCCTGGGTAGTGGGCGGTGGGTGGTAGTGGTGGTGGTAGTGGGCGTTGGATGGTAATGGATGATGTAGTAGTAGTGGGTGGTGTGTGTGTGTTGGGTGGCAGTGGTGGCAGTAGTGTGTGTGTGTGTTGGGTGGTAATGGTGGCAGTAGTGTGTGTGGGGTGGCAGTAGTGTGTATATGTTGGATGGTTGCAGTGTTGGGTGGCAGTGGGTGCAGATAAATAACTGCCCGGTGGATGGTCGTGTTAGTTTACAGGGCCGTCTGTGGGGCTCCCGATCTTCTTCATTATTTATTTGAACTTTTACCATCCCAGTACCTTGGTCTTTTTGGCCTTTATTTTCTCCTTTTTGGCCTTTATTTTCTTCCTTTTATATTTACTTATTTCTTCCTTTTTGGTCTTTAATTCTCTCCTTTTTTAACTTTTATTTTTCGACTTTTATATTATTTTTGGCCTTTTAATTTCTCCTTTTTGGCCTTTAATTTATCTTTTGGTCTTCCTTTCTTCTTTTGGGACTTCTTTTCTTCTTTTGGGACTTATTTTCTCTATTTTGGAAATAATATCCTCAAATTAGATTTTTACTTGATTTTCATACATGAGCGACGACGTCACATTGTTTACTAACACTCCTGCCAAAATTTCATCTCATGGGATCCTTATACCACTGAATCTAGTCACTTACGGTGAAAATAACACCTCCCTAACCCCATAAAAATCTACGGCTTGTTCCTCCACGTCTGACAAAAATTTAATTCTAAATAAAAGTTTTCTCAGCTCGAGGAAAAGACAGAAAAAAAATATATATATATGTAACTTTTAAGTAATTTAAATGCAGAACCCAACATCTGCCACCGAATTCTGTAATGGCGATTTTTTTACGTTCAGTTCAGAAGAAAGTCTTTTTTTTCGTGTGGTGGTTTGGATGTTTCCTCTGTGTGGGATGACAATGTTAGGAACTTTACATAATGGATCCTTTAGTCGGATAAGGAGAGTTAGGACTTGTTTGGGTTAAGTTTGTGGTGAGTTTATTGTGTATGTTTGTCAGATGTGCTTAGGTCCTCACGAGACTCCCGAGATATTGGAGAACGAGGACGCGAGATATTTTAGACTGTGATCTGTAAGAGAAACACGTATATGTGTGTGTGTGTGGGGGAGGGGGTATATTTCACCACGAGACCTCCATCTTCTCTCCTCCTCCTCCTCCCACACATCAGCTGACCTAACACGACCTCTCCCTCCACAGCTCACCTAATGCAACAGCTGGAGGACTACATGGCCCAATACCCTAAGGTCAGGATCGTCAGGGCCCCGAAACGCGAGGGACTGATCCGGGCCAGACTGATGGGGGCTCGTCACGCCACTGCTCCAGTCCTCACCTTCCTCGACTCCCACTGCGAGTGTACAACAGGTCAGATCACCACAGCCAGACTACCAGCGCCGGGCACTAGGGTCGGGCAGGGCGTGAGAGAGGGAGGGAAAGATGTAGAGAGGAAGGATTAGTCAGGGAGGAAAGGGAGGGAGGGTGAGGGAAGTTGGTAGTAGGGGTCAGGGAGGGAGGAGGGAGGGAAAGATGTAGAGAGTTAGTCAGGGAAGGAAAGGAGAGGAGGGTGGGAAGTTGGTAGAAAGGGGTCAGGGAGAGGGAGGGGGAAAGATGTGAAAGCACTCGTTTGGAGGCTCTGGGTTTAACTCGTTAGTATTGAGTATCGAGGTTTACCTAGATGGTATAAGGTATCGGTATAAGGTATCGGTATAAGGTATAGGTATATAAGTATAGGTATATTGTGGGCTAAAATATACCATTAGTTCCTTGCCCACCTACCTGCCTGGCGCTCTCTTGTTTACAGATATTTGACACTGTTCTTTAATGTTGTGAATTGTTTTGTGTTTATATTCTAGGAACTGTGTGTGTGTGTGTGTGTGTGTGTGTGTGTGTGTGGTGTGTGGTGTGTGTGTGTGTGTGTGTGTGTGTGTGTGTGTGTGTGTGTGTGTGTGTGTGTGTCATTAACTCTTTTCAGGTTTCGATTCAGTTTTGTCTGAGGAAAGGGCAAACGTCTTGACATATACTTGGCTTACCAACCTAAATGTCTGTCTGTGTGTTAAGGATCAATTATCACCTTACTGTAACCATAAAATCTTAATATACAAGTCTCAGATTTTCAGAGGTACTTACGATTATATCCCATGTTAGTGTAAGTCTGGGAATATACTTACTTGGATGCACAACCCGCTAAATACACTCGTATCTTCAGTACCGCAAAAAAAAATAATCCTTTCGCGAATGTTTGAGAATTTGCTGCTATTCTACGATGAATAAATTCCCTCTTGTGCCTCCTTCGTCTGTTGAAACCGAAAGCTTAACGAGATAGAACCGGCACTTAGCGAAGGGGTATGTGTCGAGCAAGTTGATGGTTCGTTCGTAAAAAGATTTCACTGTTGGATCTAGATTTCATACATTTCACTTTCTCTCACACTCAGTCAGTCAGTAACTCACTCACACGATTTTCTTATCACACATACGTAACATTCACTTAATATTTTGTGTCTGGGATTGTGTGTGGACAGAATAAATGCTGAAATACAACAACAACAATGACAACAACGACAACAACAGCGACACTCAGAGGATTTGTACGGATTTCTAGCGGATTCATGTAAACACGCCTCACTGAATATTTTCTTTGATATTTATTATTAGTAGTGACAGTAGTAGTGCTATTAGTGTCTGTCTATCTTATCTATCTATCTATCTATCTATCTATCTATCTATCTATCTATCTATCTATCTATCTATCTATCTATCTATCTATCTATCTAGAAATTAATTTTTATACATGAACGAAGATAAAATTTCTCAGAAGATAAAGAAGAAAAAGAAGAGAGAGAGAGAGAGAAGAGAGTAACAACATACACACACAATATAATAAAAACCACACACACACACACACACACACACACACACACACACACACACACACACACACACACACACACACACACACGGAAGCCAAGACGAGAGAGATTTGTCAATTGACTTCTGGCCATCAATTAATGGGTCTTCCGAATTGAAATTGATAGAGGCTATTATGACGATGCAACACCTGTACCTGTAGCCATCTGTATCCATTACCTGTAGTTAGCGTAGGGGCCTTGGAAGGGGGAGGCCTGGGAGTTTTAAAGGGAAAAACACCTGAGCGAGATATGGTGTATAGGGAAACTACTTCATTGAGTTACTGTATTATACTAATAACAGGTTCCCAAAGTTTTCCTTTATTCCCTATCTTAAGAGAATTGGTTGTGGTCTCTGATCTTCATTTGAGGTTTAAAAATAAAAATTAACGTAAGATTTTTTTTGGTGTGAATAAGTTGGACGTGAGTAATTGGACGTCTCTCTCTCTCTCTCTCTCTCGGTAGACTCCTCCTGCTCTTCCTCTCCTCCTCCTCCTCACGTCCAGGTCTTCCCAAAGTTTCCTCCTCATGTTTCACCTGATTTTACCTGGAGAGTTCCACCCAACTTTGTTCCATATTCTCCTCCTCCTCCTCTTTTCCCCCCCTCCCCTTTTTTCTTCCTCCTCCTCTTCCCACGTCCTCCTCTTCCACCTCTTCCTCTTCCACCTCCTCCTCTTCAACCCTCCTCTTCCCCCACCTCCTCTTCACCACCTCCTCTTCCACCTCCTACCCTTCCACCTCCTCCTCTTCCACCACCTCCTCTTCCACCTCCTCCTCTTCCACCTCCTCCTCTTCCACCTCCTCCTCTTCCACCACCTCTCTTCCACCACCCTCCTCCCCACCTCCTCTTCCACCTCCTCCTCCTCCACCTCAATATCTGGACTCATCCACAGAATCCTTCCTCAATCACTTCATATAATTAAAATCCAGATAACTCTATGTAATTTATTTATTTTATTTTTTTTTTTTACCATTTCCCAATTATAAGTTGAGGTCAAGTAATTTGGAAACTTGGCCTCAAAAAAAGAAAAACCCACGTCAAGTTACCTACCAATCACCTTTTTTTTAGGGGGAAACTGAAAGGAAATACCCCAGCCAAGAAGATTCGTCAACCTCACTTTGCGATTTACAGCAAGTCTGGTGGTAGTGGTGATAGTGGTAGTTGGTGATGGTGGTAGTGGTGTGTGTGTGTGTGTGTGTGTGTGTGTGTGTGTGTGTGTGTGTGTTATCAGGATGACACAAACATTTACAGTATTCTTCTCTCTCCTTCTCCTTCCATCTTTCTCTTCTTATTTTTTATCATTTCTCCTTCCTCCTCCTCCTCCTTATCGTCTCATCTCCCTCCTCTTCCTCCTTCGTTTCCACTAATGACTCTTCTATTCTCCACACGTTTATCCATTCTCTCTATTTACTTCTTTCATTTCCTTTCTTATCTCCTCTCATTCGTATTTCATGACTCATGATTATTTTGCAGCTGTCCGCCCGCCCGTTTCTATGCCAGTCATAACCAAGTTCTTAATCACAGGTTTACGTAAAAGAGTGATATTTTTGGTTGGAATCTCTTCTTTACAACCTTGAATTAGTCTCTCTCTCTCTCTCTCTCTCGTCATCATCATCCTTGTCTCTTTCCTTTTCATTATCAGTCTATCTTAATGACTTTCCGGGCTGGGTCACTGGGCTGAGAGAAAAGGTGGGAGTGAGAGGCGGGAGGGTGTGAGGTGGAGGGGTGTAGGGGCGGAGGGGAAGGAAGGGAGGGTAATCCCGGTTTTGTGAGGGCGCGAGAGATAAGGCTTTGAGGAGGGGTTGCGGAAGAGGGGGGTGAGGGGAGAGGAGGAGGAGGAGGAGATCAGGGGAAAAGGAATGGGGGAAGAGAAAATGGGTGATGATGGGGGTGAATGGAATTTTGGGAGTACGAAGCGGTGGTCAGGGAGAGAGAGGGAGAGGAGGTTAGGTTGCGACAGACAGACAGGCAGACAGGGAGGGAACGTTAAGGGTGAAGGACGGGAGAGGGTGCTGGTCAGGGAGGGAATAAGCGACAGTCAGGCTGACAGGCAGACAGGGAGGGAACGTCAAGGGACGGGAGAAGGGTGCTGGTCAGGGGAGGAATAAGCGACAGTCAGGCTGACAGGCAGACAGGGAAGGATTAAATGAAGACTTGAATGTTGTCCTAAATCACGGCGCCATCCGGGTATTTTTTTTCCCACCGAGTTGAACGCTTCCACTTTTCATCCTCCAGACATGAATGCTCTGTGCGTCACTGTCCTAATTTACACTGTCTAACGTTGTCACTGCTCTAATTTACACTGTCTAACGTGCGTCACTGCCCTAATTTACACTGTCTAACGTGCGTCACATCTAATTTACACTGTCTAACGTGCGTCACATCAATTTACACTGTCTAACGTGCGTCACTGCCCTAATTTACACTGTCTAACGTGCGTCACATCCCTAATTTACACTGTCTAACGTGCGTCACATCCCTAATTTACACTGTCTAACGTGCGTCACATCTAATTTACACTATAACGTGCGTCATCCCTTTTACTGTCTAACGTGCGTCATCTAATTTACACTGTCTAACGTGCGTCACATCCCTAATTTACACTGTCTAACATATCACCGTCCTGCTGTAACTAACGTATCTTCTCTCATCTCGTAATTAAATACAGAATTGAATCTGTCTCATGAATTCATCCTGTTTAGTAAATTACATCTTATCTTGGCTTAAGTTATGATATACGCACTACATATCTGTCAATTACATAGGTATGTGACATAATTTGTGTAGTTAACGCATGGGAATTGTGTGTCTTAGATATCCAGAGAAAATTCGAAATATTTAGGGGTAACTATGATGATAATACTGACACTAATAACACAAGCAATAAATGACACTAATAACACAAGCAATAAAGGTGGGAATAATAATAATAATATAGGCAAATGTTAGAGTCTTTGACCCCAGCAGTTACCTCACCCTAGCAGAGTTTTTCCTAACCTCAGCAGAGTTTTTCCTAACCCTAGCAGAGTTACCACACCCCAGCAGGTCCTCACCCCAGCAGGTTTTACCTCACCCCAGCAGTTAACCTCACCCAGCAGAGTTACCTCACCCCAGCAGAGTTACCTCACCCCAGATTAACCTCACCCCCGGCAATACCTCACCCCAGCAGTTAACCTCACCCCAGCAGAGTTACCTCACCCCAGCAAGTGCTTCCTCACCCAGCAGATTTTCCTCACCCCAGCAGTTTCCTCACCCCAGCAGAGTTACCACACGAGTTACCACCAGCAGTTAACCTCACCCCAGCAGAGTTACCTCACCCCAGCAGAGTTTTACCCACCCCAGCAGAGTTACACCCAGCAGTAACCTCACCCCAGCAGAGTTTACCACCCCAGCAGAGTTACCACACCCCAGCAGTTAACCTCACCCCAGCAGAGTTACCTCACCCCAGCAGAGTTTACCACACCCCAGAGTTACACACCCCAGTTACTCACCCCAGCAGTTCACACCCCAGCAGTTACCTCCAAGGATTACCACACCCCAGCAGTTAACCTCACCCCAGCAGAGTTCTCTCCCCAGCAGAGTTTTACACACCCCAGCAGAGTTACCTCCCCAGCAGAGTTACCACACCCCAGCAGAGTTACCACCCCAGCAGTTAACCTCACCCCAGCAGAGTTCTCACCCCAGCGAGTTTTCATTAATGTTATAAAAATTGTTTTATGTCTAATTTAATCGTCTTGATGTGACGACTATTTCTGTCACCGTTAAATCCACTACTTTGTCTTCCTTATTTCTGTCTTGACCCATATGACGACCCACCCTCTCACGACCCACCCCTCTCACGACCCCCACCCTCTCGACACCTCGACCCCACTCTCATCCTCTCACGCCCCACCTCTCTCAACCCCACCTCTCTCGACCCCACCCCTCTCACGACCCCACCTCTCTCGACCCCACCCCCTCTCATGCCTCTCATGACCCCACCTTTCTCCGACCCCACCCTCTCACAGCCTCCCCTGTACCCCACCCTCTCATGACCTCTCCTTGACCCCACCTCTCTCACAGCCCACCCTCTCGACCCCACCCTCTCATGACCCCACCTCACAGCCCCCCACCCTCTCGACCCCTCTACGACCCCACCCCTCGACCCCACGCCTCTCACGACCCCACCTCTCATGACCCCACCCCTCCACGCCCCATTCCTCTCCCCGACCCTGTCCCTCTAACAACCTCTTTCACGACCCATCCATCGTCCCTATCCACCCCCTCACAGGCCTTCCTACCCACGACCTAGCCTCCGACCCTCCGACCCACCCCAACCCACCCCCACAACCCACCCATGTCCCGTGATCCATAGGGTGGTTGGAGCCTCTGCTAGATTCGGTGGCTCGTAACACCTGGACGATCGCTTGCCCAGTGATTGATGTTGTGGACGACACCTCACTTGAATACCGCTACCAGGACGCTACCCTGAGTGTAGGGGGCTTTAACTGGGCCCTGGAGGTATACCCCCCTTGTTACTATACCCACAGACAGACACAGACACGAGAACATACCCATGCCTACAAGGACGTACACAGCATACTCACACTTAAAGTACACCACACTACAACACACACACACACACACACACACACACACGATGTATATAACTACCCCTATCCATACAAAACAAAACATTTACAATTACACATTTCAATCAATATACACAAACCACAAGCAATATTTCCTATTAATTATGTACAGAAATTAACATAAGGGAAACGTGTCTAATTATTACTAAAAAGTCCATAACAAAAAACACTAAACATCCGTTCTCCTTCATTCTAAATCTTCATATTAACATAAAAATTGGTTAAACATTGAACTAACATCTCGGAACCTGTAGCGGTATCTTAAGGTCTATTAACATGAGGTACTGTAAGAAATCGTTTCCATGTTAAAGTAGAGTCTTAGTGTAATTAAGTTGTTATTGTCACTGTTTTGATTGTGTTATATCTCTTAAATAAATCAGTCAAGAGGTAGAGTCTTCTCATATTGCCAATTATAAGAACCTTTTATGAATCTGTTTTTGTGTCGTGGCTCAAGTGAAATTTATCTTAGGATCCTTTAAAAATCTGGATCCATTTTTACCGTATTTTAAACCATGTTGTCAGATATACTATGGATCTAAAAAATTATATTATGGAATCACTAAAGAGAAAACGGCTACAATTACTGTATAATTATTTTCATTATCTATCGGAGGAAGCGTCCGTTGTGTGTCATCTCCGTGTCCGTTTCAACACTCATATAAATTTGACCATGTTACAACTGCTGGGATCATTTGTACCCAACTCAGAGCACATATACAGGGCATCTCAATAAATGTATACACACTGATTTACAGATTTTTTTGTGGTGATCACGTAAATTGTCTATGATCTGTGAGGTCTTCCCACTAGTGAGGACAATTTGCTGTTTTAATACGTACAATCATTCACGCGATTGACACTAAAATCTAAATCTGGAGGAAACAGCAGAATAAACTTTAAATGGCCTTCATAATAACTGAGTATTTTCCTGAGCTAATCAAGTTTAATATTAATTCAACTTCTTATCCAGAACTGCTAAATAGGCTGGATTGAAATAAGCTTATCAAGGAATTTTTTGCTTAAGTAACAATGACTATCAATTGATTAGTTTTGATAGTCTAATAAACTCCTCCTCCTGCTGTATGACATGTGGCCCCTTATTGTAGCTGAGGGCTGTGTGGCTGTATCAGGAGACTCACAACCCAGCGGTAATGAGATCAAATCCACACATAATAGAAGGCATAAATTATGTTAATATCCTCTATCAGTTAAGTATTAGTAATCACGTCAGTAATCGCGTCACATCCCCCACCCCAGCGTGTGAGAAATACAGTACCTGCCTATCTGGTTCACAAAAATCGTAAAATTATCCCAGTTTATTTGGTTTATGGACGCGTGTGGTTTGCAGTCCAGCTATCCATCAGGTAAGGCTTCTGACTCGTGTTGGAAAATGGCCAGAGACGAATTCTCAAAGGCCAGAAAAAGGAAACAGTATAGCGAAAATGAGTGTACAGTATCATGGCGGCCATAGCTAAGGAGGTCTATATTATCCTTGGCCAGTAAAGACTCTAATGGTTACTATTTTATGTCTCTGTCTTAGTGTCTGTAACATCTCCTGTCTTGTTCTGTCATTGTTTTGTCTTCCTCCTGTTTATTTTCCTCTTTCTCTCTGACTGTGACGGTAAACTGGAGTATTTCCCCAAACAAATATTTCGATAACTCTTTGGTAAGGTTGAGGACTACAAGACGTGACTGTGTGGTTTGAAGCTTTCTGGTGTCAGTGACTTCATGTAGTTATGGACTTCTGACGTCGTTCATTGCTAAAACGACAATTTCTGACGTCGTATAATATTCACATTGCGTCATATTTATAAATTCATCGAGATCCGACTAAATTTGAACGTACGAGTTACTTTGGTACCTTTCAGCACTGATGAGGTTGAACTTGTAAACAAAGGAATCATGAGGTTGAACGAGAAAGTTCTGGACAACCATACAAGTTCTTTACATTGAGAGGAAAATATTATAAACAAGTGTGAATGTCATAAGTTTGGGCTGGGTGGTGAAGGATGCCTGGTAGCGATGACCTTCTGGCTCCCCACAGTCTTCACACACACCGCTGGGGCTCTTCTGGGATGAGGGCGTCCATATGTATTGCCTCTCAGGGTGTTGGTGGCTATGATCTTAAGAGGTCACATGGCCATAACGTATGTGCCCTTTACCTGACACTGACCTAACTGACACCTGTAGGTTGGCTGGAGCCCCTGCTGGTGCGCATCGCCGTAGAACCTCAAACAGTCGTCTGCCCAGTCATCGACGTGATCTCCGACGACAGCTTCGAGTACCACTACCGTGACTCCTCAGGGGTCAATGTGGGTGGCTTCGACTGGAACCTGCAGGTGTGGCCCCTTTGTGTAATGCCCATGCTCACACCCACGCCCACGAGACATCATCATATATATTAAATCTCTCTCAAACTTGAATCTTGGGTGATGGACTTGATCCTTCTCTTCGTCTCACCTTCAGTGATACAGCGTCTCTCTCTTTGCTTGTTGGGTCATTGGACTGGACTCTTGGCAGGAAGACAACAACAACAAGCTTGACCTTAACGCTGGTACAGATCAACACAAGACAGATGGAATGAAGACTCGTTGCATTAACAGCATTTAACCACTATCGAACTTTCCCTCTTGCATGGATCTGCTAACAGTAAATGTGGTAAAGGCTTGCATCTCCTTAAGGCATGTCCTCCTTGAGGCTTCTCTGGAATACTGTACATACAATTATAATTTATTTTCTTGCAGGTTTACAGTATACCAATATGGCAGCAGCTCACATATTCTAAAAGATTTATCAGTACACTCCTAAGTGACTTTCAGGTACTGGTAATTTGAATTGTTCTTAACTTATATATTTATATTTTGGGGTAATTTAGGTAATAAGTGTATTTTTGTAGAGATGTCTGTCCTGTTGTGTATGTGAGGGAAGATTAAGTGTTGGTAAAGTTTGTTTTTATTTCAGCTAAACCGACAGTGAGAGCTCGGTGTACCCAGGAGTGTCATCAGTGTTTTATTTCATTCACTGGTTTATATTCACTTAATATTTTAACCAATAAATTTACAATTAATAATAACACCTTAAGCGATATTCAGTGAATTTACTGTATATGTTGTGTGTTATTTATGTTTCATTATATTCTTTTTCTCACAGGATATTTATAATGAACCGTAATTGTTATGTTTATCTCTACGTCATTGTACACAGGTTAAACTCTTTATTGATATCATACGATAATTATTGATATGGTTTTAATTTTCAGTGTTTGTGTATCCCATTTAAGAAAGATTTACGTTTAGGAAATGTTTAGTACAGTAGCTAAATCAACTATCCGTGCAGGAAGGGGTCGATATGCTCCGAAATTTTACGTGTGACTAGTGACAGCCCTCATATACCAAAATTTATCGTCCATGGTCTCATATTGTTTCCCACAAAGCATGTAGAGGTAGTTGTTTTAGCTACTGTACCTTAAATATGATTAGAATTTCGTTTTTTAATCGTATTTTAGGTAAAAATAAAATTCTGATCTGAAAAATTCATTCCTAACTGGAGTATTCAGAGACTTGATGTCAGTATTATCCATTAAGACTCTATTTTTAAACACTTCACTTTAGTACCATCCATCACGACCCCACCCACCAACACCCCCCATCACCCCCAACACCCCCATCACCCCCAACACCCCCATCACCCCCAACACCCCCATCACCCCAACACCCCATCACCCCCAACACCTCTCCAACACCCCATCACCCCAACACCTCCATCACCCCCAACACCACCCCCCAACACCCTCCATCACCCCAACACCCCATCATTCCCATTTTCACACCAAACACCCCATTTATATAAACCTTGACATAACCTAACATTGTTCTATCTTTTCTCTCCCCAACCCCCATCTCGCACCCCATCTCGCACCCCCATTCTCACCCCCATCTCGCACCCCTATCTCGCACCCCCCATCTACCACCCTTACGCCCGTCTCGACACACTCTGAGCAGGATGGTTGGAGCTGCTCTTGGATCGTATTGCCAGAAGTTCCTCCAATGTGGTGTGTCCTGTCATAGATGTTTCCTCAGACAACACCTTCGAGTTGTTTTATTCCAAAGACGGCACGGTGAATGTGGGAGGCTTCTCTTGGGATTATAGTAGAGTGCTTGTATGGGGTATAAGAGAGATTGTGTTTTGTTTACGATGAGGTGAGTTTTTCTTCATCAGGTGTTTGTGGGTTTCCTGAATTCGGTGTGTGTGTGTGTGTGTGTGGGTGTGGCTTTTTAGTGTTTTTTTTTTAATTAGGTTGTGTGTTTGATTTTTGTTTTTTGTTTTGTAGAGAAGAGAGAGTGGCTGACTGGCTCTGTGTGTGTGTACAGGGACTTGGTTCACTTTAATTTCTGTTATTTCTCCACACTCGTCTTTTATTGTGGTTTATTAATCTTTCCTTCCCCATATATCCACATCCCCCCCTCTTTTTTCGGTTTTGTTACCCTTCATCGGTCCGCCTTGTGCAAAATTTGGGAGCTTATTGATAGATACGTGTCTCTAATTGGTTTCGTTCGTGATGTTGCACTCTTGTTTGTGATGTACTTTTGTTTGTGATGTACTTTTGTTTATTGTGTACTTTTGTTCATGATGTAGGACTTTTGTTCGTGATGTACTTTTGTTCGTGATGTACTTTTGTTCGTGATGTAGGACTTTTGTTAGTGATGTACTTTTGTTCGTGATGTACTTTTGTTCGTCTTATAATTTCATTCACAGTGTTGTACTTTTGTTCATGATGCTGTACTTTCTTCTAAGGTGAAGTGAAAACTGATGTACGGAATGATGGCAAGTTAGCAGACATGACATGGTATGCAGACAGACATAACACCAATAACTAAAACTTCATAACAACTTAACAATGGCGGTCACAGATTAGAAGGAACCAGGATCCAGATTCTGAAAAACCTGTTTGTTAAGCTGATGCTCTTGAATTATGGCTAGAAGAATGTTTTTTTTTTTAATGGCTGTTAGCTATGACCGGCTGTAGGGGAAATTAAGGCTTGTTTTTATAGCTGATGTGAAACCATTAGGATCGTTTACACACATTACCAGCTAGGAGGTGATAACGTGAGAACCTTTAAGAATCCTGGGTTCTGTGTCTCAGGATGGCTGGAGCCCCTGCTGGACCGCGTGGCTAACGACCCTACCAATGTGGTCGCACGGCAATTGCTAAGATTAATACGGAGACATTTGAATTTTCATGGACACCCCTGAACATAATGTCAGTTGGAGGGTTCAGCTGGAAGCTCTTGGTAAGACACATGACAGCCAGCTTGTGTGTGTGGTTGAAAGCTTTTTGGTCGGGTGCTGTAGGTTCCAGAAGAAACTTTAGATGACTCCCAGAGACGAATTAGCGCTCCTATTGACCATAAGGTTGTGCTTTTCTTTATTTTTGCTTTAAGATCGTTTGTTAGGAAAGTTTGCCTGTATTGCCTTTATGATAGATCTTTCCAGCCGCTTTATCAACATAAATATAATGGTTGCCCCTCGTGTAACGAGGATGGCCGTCCCTAAGGCCACCTAGGCATGAATTTGGTGTAGAATCTGTCGCAAACGCAATAACCACGCCCAAAGTTACGAGCTGAATGACCCAGTGTCAAGGAATAATCCGAGAAGACCAGACAACTCGCCAACTGCACCGGCTAACCATTTCCCCGGAACACGATCCGCAAATCGATTAACATCCAGGTTCCCAATTTCCGGGTACTACTGGGTAGACAGAGGCAAATGGCGTAAAGAAACTTGCCCATAGTTTCACCTTGCCCAGGGATCGTACCCGGGTCGTATTTACCAAAGCGAGCATGCTGACCATTACACCACAGGTCACTATATTAATATAAATACAAACATCCAGTCACTCGTAATGACTCTAGCATCAATGAGTGACATGACCAGGATGTTGGTGTGCCATCGTTCAGCTGCCTCAGAGTTTTCATTGTACAAGCTCACTCATGTGAGCTGCAATGGATCCACGTGGCTGCAGGAATCTTTGGGTCACGGAGGTATAGATCACCAGCTCGTCATTATTTGTTTACAGTAAAAACCTCGACGGATTACTGTTAGAGAATCACCCTGAAGCCTGGGGGATGTCAGATTGGCCAGGTGTTGGATTTCAGAGCTGTTGTGGCTTATCTTTGCTTATTAGATCTTGTGTAGATGGAGTGTGGTGGTAAAGGTACTGACACTAGTTATACTTGTGTTAGTCTCTCAGATGAAGTTAAGGGTCCCGGATACCTCTATTTTAAGGGACTCACGCCTCTACTACTGTACTCAGATGTAAAAAAGTAGAAGTTCCATTAACTTTCAGCACAGTATTAGTGGATTCACCGTAAGTGCCTTTCATTATAAACTAGTTGTATGAATATTTCAGCGAGCAAATGAAGGGGACAAGAAGAGTATTAAAAATGTTTAGGTATTTTATTATGTACTGTACACCGGGTAGAGCAAGGGCAAAAGGTGCTGGAGTGCCGCTGGCCTATGTGTATTTCCTGCATTTATGTAGTTGAAACATCTGAGTATCGTAACTCGAACTCAATACAGGAAAATTTCTGGTGAATTGTGCTGGAAGTCAGTTTTGAAGGAGTGATGCTGGTGGAGGGAGTTCTCACGCTTAGTTTGTGTTCATTATGCACCAAAACTGTTACAATTATCCTCAAGTCTTGCAAACATGTCATGCAAGCTCTTGATTCAGTCAACATCTGGTAAAGTTTTACCTAGTTTCTACCTACTTTCACCTACTTTTTGTCATTCAATAATTCATTTGATTAAGGATCAACTTAAAAAAAGATAATAATATATTTACTTGTTAACCATAAGTGAAATGCTACTCATACAACATTCAGAAGTGAATAAACTTTAAATATAAACACACATACAAATTTTAGCCCATGTCTTTTAAGATGAGATAAGTGATATCTCCATTCTCCGGAACAATTGGTGCAGAGCGCTTCCAGTAATGAGAGATTGCTGGATAACGAGGCGACTCTCTCAAAGCAAGAAAAAATATCCCTCAGCCTCGGAATTTTCCGGATAACGGAAAAATTTTCTCGGAATTTCCAGAAAATGCGCCTGATTTTCATCTCTCAAACCCGAAAAAAACTCCTCCATCCCCGGAATTTTCTGGGTTCCGGGAAAATTTTCTTGTAATTTCCCGGAAGATGTGCCCCTTGGAACATTTTTCACAAAGTCGGAAAATTCCGGCTTTGGGAACATTTTCCGAGAAAATTTCAATTCCGGCTATCGGAGAGTTCAGGTTTGAAGGATTCTGGTGAACGGAGATATTACTTACTGTATTTTAATA